CTGTGCTTCAGCCGAGACCCCTCCCCAGCCATCTCCTCCCCCAGCTCCCTCGGCCGCCCCAAGCAGTGCCAGGCAGGCAGGCCCCGCTCCACCTGGCAATGTGCCCTGGCATACCTCTCAGCAATAACCCCCTGGGCTCTGGGCCCTGCCCCCGCCACCTCCCGCTTCCCAGCTCCCCTGGACCCCGACCCCCATCCTCGCACTGGGTCTGGGGCAGGCGGTCCATTCTCTTGGGGCCGCTTCCCGGGAGGAAGCGGGAGAGTCAGGGCCTCTGTCTGTCCTGCCTGTCGGCCAGGTGAGCAGTGATGGCTGCCCCTCCCTCCGTCTGTCCTGGCCAGAGTGGGTGCAGTGGCCTGGCTGTTGGAAAACAGAGGTCAAAGGTCATAAGGAGTGGGAAGCCAAACCAGCCCTGCCCTCCCATGCATCACGTCACCGTGGAAACGAGGCGAGCGTGTGATGGGCTGCTGTCTGCTGTGACCTGTCCTCTCCACACGGAATAAATACCATTTGTCTCCTGGGGGCCGGGCTGCACTCCTTTCTGGGGAGGACTGACGTGTGAAAGGCTGACAGGACTCCGCCTGGGTCAGAGGGAGGCGGTCAGGGCTGAGCGGTGCCCTGTGGTCCAGCTGCTCTGTATGTCCGCCGCCCCCCTCCTGCTTCTCCTAGCTCCCCTTCCTCCCCCCTCCTCCCCTCTATCTCCAGCACCTCCTCCCTGCCTGTGGGCGAGGACCTGTGCCCTCTGGCCTGCCTGAGGGCCCCTGGCCTGGGGGAAAGGCCCTAACCTCTCCCTTTGGTCATTAGGGGCCTCTCCCTCAGTTTGACAGAGGTACACAGGTGACACTCGTTATGATCCAGCCCTTTCTCTTTCTGCCAAACCAAATGCCTCCTCCGTGAAGCCTTCCTGGACTTCAGAGAGGATTGGCCCTTCTTTCTGTGCTCCAGTCACCCGGGCCCCTTCGCGGCACAGCCTGCACCAAGCCGAGCCGCCGAGAGCCGGCAGAGGCTGTCTGAGCCAGCTGTGGTGACGGCACTCAGGGCTGAGCCCAGGGGCCTTAGAGCGGCTGTCCAGTTCAGTTTGGGGGAAAGTGCCGCTGGCCACGCACGCACAGCGGGCAGCCCCTGGGCCATCGTGTGTGCCCACATCCCACTCTGGTGTTGGGGTCCTCATCGGAGACAGTCTGGAGGGCTAGGCCTGTGTCTCCCTCTAAGAATGCCGGGGCTTCTTGGGCGTCCAAAGGGTCCTAGAGTCTGTCAGTTCTGTGAGTTCAGAGCTGCAGGATTACAGGTCCTGGGGGGGGGGGGGGGGCAGCCACTCCCTGCCCCACCTCCGTGCTGCCTCTGCATGGCCTCTAGGTACTCCACCCCCCACCCACCTCCAGCCGTTTACTGGGCCTTGGAGAGACTGAGGCGTGTAGTTGAGGTCAAGTTCACCATTGTGAACCCAGTGGTCACTGGGGTCACGCTTACACTTGTACATAGGCTCATGCCCATCCGGGGAGCACAGGGCCCATCCGGGGAGCACAGGCCTGGCTGTGCTCGGTCCCAGGAGGTCTGCAGAGGCCAGGGCCACAGACCAGGCCTCCCACACCGGCTAAGAGGAGGCTCACCTGTACCAACAAGCGGAAGGGCGTCCAGGAGGGGGCGCTGGCTTTCCGGTAATGACATCGCCGCCGGCAGAGCCTGCTCCTCTGGGACAGGCTCGGACGCCTCGCCCGGCTCTGCCTGGCTCCGCGCAGCCACTCCGCCTGGCGCCCAGCATGTTCTCCAAGGTGGCAGGGAGGGGGCGTTCTCACTGAGAAACCCGTGACGATCCGGGGCACGGTGTGTCTTCAAGGCTCTCTGCATGCATGTGGCTCTCTCCTGTGTGTGGGGGGGAGGGGGGAGGATGAGGGCAGTGCTGTCCAGACCCAGGGGAGAGACCACCTCTGGGACTGCTCTGGGAGGTGGCGTGGCAGTGAGTAGCCTGGAACCACACATGAAGGTCAGAGGCTGGTCATCAAAATAACAACCGTGATGATAATCAGTAAAAGGGCAATATGCTAATTAGGGCAGACGTCTTCCAGATGTCCATCAGACAAAGCCACAGCGGCTGCCTGAGGCTCAGGCAAGCCACAGATGGCGGCTGCTGCTGCCCAGGGCCAGCCCAGGCTCAGGCAGCCATGGTGGCTGCCAGTGGCAGCAGCAGCGGGCTGATGGGGGCAGCGCCTTCCCCTGATCTGCCAGGTCGCCTCCAGCAAAGGGAGGCCAGACTGGCTTAGGCTGGGAGCCCAGGCAGAGGCAGTTGGGGGTGATCAGGCCAACAGGGGGGCAAGGTAGGGGCGATCAGGCAGGCAGGCAGGCAGAGGAGTTAGGGGCGATCAGGCAGGCAGGCGAGCTGTTAGGAGCCAGCAGTCCAGGATTTGGAGGGGAGGGATGTCCAAAGGGTCCCAGATTGGAGAGGGTGCAGGCCAGGCTGAAGGGACCCTGCTCCCCCCACACGAATTTCATGCACCAGAGCTGTAGTAATAATAAAAGCATAATATGCTAATTAGACTGGATGTCCTGGACAAAGATGGGGCTGCAAGGGCAGCCGGTGCCGGCAGCAGGGGGAAGGAAGGCCCGCTCTCGCGCGAACTCTAGTGATGAATGAAAGCAGCACCCATGTCGCAGCGCTGGCTGTGCTGAACTCTGAGCGGAGGACTCAACCCTAGGCAATGCCATCCACTGCCCAGATGGTGTGCCCCAGTCCGCACTCCCGGGGGCCTGGCGAGGACCAGCCCAGCCAGCGCCGCTCTGGCCGCGGAGGAGGGCGCTGGCCCGCCAGGGGGGCCTGAGAGGCGGCAGGACTTGGCTTGTGGGAAGGCGTCCTTCGTCCCCACAGGCATTATGACCCCAAGTCGGAGTGAGTCCGCCCTGGGAGGTGTTTGAGCTGCAGGAAGGTGAGCAGCTGGTGGGGTCCTCCAGGCAAGATGGACTCTGAGGACGTGCCCCGCCGACAGTGTCCAGCCCAAACGGCCCCCGCCCCTTCGCCTGCGGGTCAGCCTTCTCCCCCTGTGGCCAGCCGGCAGGCCGGGGAGGAGAGGCCAGGACCCGCATGGAGCTGTTCAGCGTGTGTCTCCCACCGTGCCCATGTCTGTGCCCTCAGCCGGCGGGCGCATGGCTCCTCTCTAACCTGGTCGGTGCGGCTGCGTGGGAGAGCCGCCCGCGGCGCCAGAGCCGGAGGGAACGCCGAGCCTCCTGGTGACAGTGACCTCAGCTCCTGCACCTCCCGCCTCAGCCACGCCCCGTGAGGTCCACTGCACAGAGTTTCAAGTCTGTTTGCGTGGAGGTGTTTGTGTTACTTAACACCCTTCCAACCAGGTCACGCTGCCTCCCCGCCCCCTTCCCCTCCACCACTCGGTTGTTTTCCAGGGTGTGGGGTGCACCTGGCCAAGTTGTTCTGGAAAGAGAGGCAGAGAGCAAGGGGCAGGGGGTGGGTGAGGGACACCAGTGAAGCACAGCCAAGGTCACCGGCTCCTCCCGCCCTCCCCGGGGGCACGCAGGGAGCTGCTGAGGGAGGGCTGTCCAGCTGGGTCTGGTTCGCCCCACCTTGTCCCTGGCTGCTCTGCCTCACCTGGGCAGGGGGAGGGAGGGAGAGTCAGGTGCCTTTGCTGGCCAGGGGGGAGCTTGGAAATACCTGTCTCCAGGCCATGGAGAGGAAGCGTGGCTGCCTCTCACATTGGTGTGATTCATTGCTGTCGCGCTGGCCCCCAGGGCCCCCGCTCCGGCACAGAGCCAGCCCCAGCCATGCCCGGCTGAGTAATGGTGGGGCGCCTGCCAAGGCGGCGGAGGCAGCCTCAGGTGGTGCTGCCACGGGACGTTCTGAAGGTCACAGGTGGCCCGGGCTGTTGGGGTGCAGGGTGGGGTGGCTGGTGGGCAGGAGGCTCGGGCATTCTCCTTCTCTCGTCCCCCCTTCCCTCCGGCTGTGTGAGTGTGGGCACAGCCCAGCATCTCTGCCCACTTCCCTCGTTAGAGGGCACACGGGGCCACCGAAGCCTCGGTCTCCCCAACGGGGCAACGGGCCCAGCAGTGCCCTTCCTGTGACCCCCAAGGTCAAGGAGACCGGTGGGCATAAAACCCTCAGAAGATTCTGTGTGAAGACATGTCATTCGCATGAACATGGCCATCCATCTCTTTGTCTTCTTGCTTTAATAGCAGGTCCCATCTGTCTGCCTGGCCAGGCTTCACTTTCTGACCGGTCCGTGTCCCTCCCCGGTCAAGCGGGGTCCCCGGGGTCACGCGGGGTCCCCGGGGTCACGCGGCGTCCCCGGGGTCACGCGGCGTCCCCGGGGTCATGCGGGGTCCCCGGGGTCACGCGGCGTCCCCGGGGTCATGCGGGGTCCCCGGGGTCACGCGGCTGTCCCGGAACCCGCTGGGCCGGGCTGTTGGGGTGGGGAGCCGATGGCGGGCCCAGGCTCTCAGGAATGACTGGAGCCTGGAGGTGGTGCACCTGCCAGTGAGGAGTGGTCGCACAGGAGACCACAGTGACCCACACCG